CAGATTTGTTTCATAAGATAGTGAAATACCAAAGAGCCTGACATTAGAAATTTTGCTAAACGTCTGGTTTTGGCTTGTAAGCAGGCGTAGTGTTCTTGGGGCATGGCTGTGGGTATGTCAGCCTGACAGCTTCACCAGTAACTAACTGTTCCACGCAGACTACAGACTGGAAGAGAAAGATATCATTGCAAAACTTCATGAACTTAATTATGACTTGAGTGATGATAGAATCATAGACTGGCTTGGGTTGGAAGGGCCCTCAAGGATCATAAATCTCCAACCCCCTGCCACAGGCATGGGCACCAACCTCCACATTTAATGCTAGACCAGGCTGCCCAGGGCCCCATCCAATCTGGCCTTGAACACCTCCAGGGACGGGGCATCCACAACCTCCCTGGGCAGCTGTTCCAGCACCTCACCACTCTCTCTGTAAAGAACTTCCCCTTGACAATCTAAATCATCACTCCCTCAACTTCAAACCATTTTCCCTTCTCCTGCAGTTATCTACCCTTTCAAAGAGTTGATTCCCCTCCTGTTTGTAGGCTCCCTTTAGTTACTGAAAGGCTGCAGTGAGGTCACTTACAGCCTTCTCTTCTCCAGGCTGAACAAGCCCAGCTCCCTCAGCCTGTCTTTGTAGGGGAGTGCTCCAGTCCCCTGATCATCTTTGTGACTCTCCTCTGGACCCTCTCCAACAGCTCTCTGTCTTTCTTGCACTGGGACTCCAGACCTGGACACAGTACTCCAGATGGGGCCTCACAAGAGCAGAGTAGAGAGGGACAATCACCTCCCTGTCCCTGCTGGCCACCCCTCTCCTGATGGAGCCCAGGATACCATTTGCTTTCCAAGCTGCAAGAGCACACTGCTGGCTCATGTTGAGATTTTCATCCACCAGGACCCCCTCAGGTCCTTCTCAGCAGGGCTGCTGTCAAGGACTGTTCCTCCCAGTCTGTACAGTGATGTGTAAGGTTGTAGCACAACTTGTTAACTGTTGTATGTTCTTGCTTCTTAACAGCATATGCTAATCAATAGTTACTATATTTATTTGTTTTACCATTCTGCACCTTGAATATGATGCTTTAGTACCTTTGTGCTTAGGTGTACGTTCTGTGGGAATAAACTTGTGTCAGTTTGTGGTTTTTAAAGGATTGTGCCTTTGCTGAGTTTTCCCTCTTTGAGATTTGGAGTCTAGTTTTATGCAGTGAAATGGTTCAGCTTTGTCTTGTGGTGGCTTTGAGAGATGCCTTTTCAGCTTGGCTTGAGGTTACACATTTGAGTACGTTAAGCTGAGAAATGACTGCAGTCAGATGCTGTGGATGTCAAACGTGGTATTGCCTCCATCGCTAACATCTTGCTAGGCTGCAGCTAATCCTGTGTATGGAGGTTTTAGCAGATGGTTGTCCTCCCAGCCTGAAAGCTGGCAAGGAATCCATGGGCTTAGGTTGGGAGATCGTTTTTTGTTTTAGCTGGGGAAAATGTTAAAGCTTTCCATTGGTGTAAATCTCTTGTAAATAATACATACTGACTCTGTATGTGTTGGGGCTTGCAGGTCGTATGAAAGCTTGTTCTTAAGTGGTAATGCTTCCTTAAAGGGAAGCTTCTTTTATACCTGTTGGGTTATGCTGTGTTTACTTCTGGAGCTGTAAGAAGATGCTGATAACTGCTCTATTTTTAAAATAATTCATCTGAAGCATGAGCTTTCAATACCTACTTTTTAAGAAATTCTAATTCATTCACTGGATCATTTTAAGCCTGTTGCATAAAATAAAAACAGGTTGTGCCTATCAATCTGCACACTTCAAAGCTTACAAAAGCTCAGGAGATAGGTCCAGTACATAGCATGGTGCTATACAGCACCTGCCTTCCTTATCATCAGATGAGTAAAGCATGGTTCTGGTCTTAGAAGCAAGGTCCGTCAAGGCAAAGATAGCCTAACTGCATTGAGATCTGTCATGGAGCAGTTCCTTCACTACTGGGATCATTGTCTGCTCCTGTGGGAGAGAAGAGATGATCAAGAAGGGGGGGGACCAGGCTAAACAAATCTTATTTAAACAGAAGGCATAAAACTAAGAAACGTGGCCAGTGCATACATGTATGCATACGTGTATTTTTCACAAACATTCTATAATTCCAACAACTGATGTATTTGATGTGGAATCTGTGGTCATATATCAGTATCTAGTGGCCAAAGGCATGAATGCTTGCATCATCAGGCCAGAAATCATGTCAGTGTGCATCTGGTCATGATCAGAGCATGGCAGCCAGGTGTAACCCTCATAGCCTCTTCTGTTCCATGTCTGTGTGGGAGAGACCATAGCCCTAACACTGCACTGCTGAGTTTTGCATGGCCCTGGGTCCCCTGACACACTGGATTTTTAAAGGCATGATGATGACAGGGAGCCCCAGTCCTGGGAGTGAAGTTTTGCCTAGGTGACATCTCCTGCTTGCTCTGCAAACGGAGGAGCAGCTCAGCACTTAGTGGTGCATACTGCCTGCGTTGTGTCATTTAAAGAAGGAAAGAAAGAAAATGTGCCGGCACTGCTTCAAAGCTCAAACTGTGTACAAGAAGCTTAAAAGGAAATGCAGAGGAATGCCTAAAAGGTAAAACTCAGGTGATGTGGAGATTGCCTTAAGACATGTATGGAAGCTCAGAAAATGTATTCAGCTACTCAGAAAAACATCCACGAAGTTGATAACCTCTCTGAAGAATCTTTCTGAAGAGTGATAGCTCTCTAAATGAGGAAGAGATGGGAGATTTCTTGCACGTCAAGTGTAAAACCATAATGCTGTAGTCAAATGTTTTGAAAAGCAATTTGTTAAAAGCAAACAACTAGTGAAGAACAATATTGAGACAGGATTGTAATAGGATAGGATCATTGGGGCTGAAATAATGGGAGCGTAAAGCAAAGATAAAACCCAGTTGAAGAGCTGAGTGAATGATTTGTCATTAGAAAGAAGCTTGGAGTCTTCCCAGTACAGCTTTCGTGAAGGGTTCACTCTGAGTAACCATCTTCAGTTAAAGTATTGTTAGACATACATTGATGAAATGAATAGTAATGCTTGCTTCGTGCCACGCTCTTTTTATCTTTACTACAACAAAAATATTAAGCTACTAAACAGTTGAAAATGGCATATTTTTCTTAAATCTGCCTTGTTTCTTGAATGGTAGGTGACAAATGTTATGGTTATCCCCTGAGGAGTTTCAAATGTGGTCTGATTTTTTGTGTGTCTGCTCAATAGAAAATATTCTCGAGTATTATCACAGATAATTGAGAAAATGGAGGTGGAAATCATAATTTGGGATCAAAGTGGAAGCTAAGTTCTGCCTTGCATCTATTAGATCTCTGAAATTCCATAATCTGGTGCTTACAGCACTGGATTTGGTGTGAGCGGAGATGCTAAAGGGGACTCAGGTTAACTGATGGGTCGTGCTGGGGTATGGCTTAAATGTAGAAGGTTTGGTGTCCAGCATGTCCAGAATGATCCAGAAAAAAAGTGTTGCAGTAGAAAACTAAGACAGGTTTGTCTATCTAAGCAGAGTTATCACGGGAAGTATTGAAAAGCATTTTTAGACTATCTAGTGGCCTTAAATTTGACTTCATTATTGAGATAAGTATAAAATTCTAGTATGGCTATCGACTTGAATGATTGACCAAGCTAGCTGCATGCAGTGACTTTACAGGTTCTTCATCTTTCACCCATTCCCTAGCTCTCCAATTCCTTTCCATACCTCAGCGGTCGGGCTTAGGTGGTGGCAGGGATCAAGTGGTATAACAAAATGATGAGGGAGGGGAAAAGTGTGGTTCTGGTAGATGCTGTGGTGCGGGTGTCCTCTTACTGCAATGAGGACTTGTCTTGTTTGAGGCAGCACGTTTCATGCTTGTAGATGTAAAGTGAGACTTGAGTTGATCTGAGTTGGTTAATCAAGCACTGAGCAGGAAGCTGTGTCTTCCTTATGCTTAAGTCAGCCTAAGATAATTAAATGGATGCTGCAGTGCAAACGGGTTGAGAGCAGCAAAGCTGGGGGTAATGTTCACATTGAATCTGCGTCCCATGTAGGCTCATGTGAAGAGCTCTTATTTCATTTACCCACGTGTGAGCTTTAGGATGTTCAGTGTTACACTAGATGGCTGGTGGGCAGTAATGTTGGTTTCTGTGTATTCCTCATTTTGACAGAAGTTATTTGCCCTAACTCAAAAGTGGCAATGAAGGTCAGTAGCAAGGATGGAACATAGGAAGTATTTTAATAGGTGAGTTTTAGTTAGTGTGGCTGATCTTCCTAGGCTGCCAGAAGTCATTCAGTCCTGATTTTCTTTTGGTTACATTCTGATGGTACACCTTCTCCACTGTAAAATGAACCTAGGGAGAGTGCTTTCAATAAGATAAACTGTTCTTACTGAATCTTTTAATCCCTCTTAGCTAAGAGGGATAACTGTACTGTAGGGAATGCATATTGAGTGCCTGGTATCTTTCTGGAATTAAGACTTGTATGGGCTCATTTTCCCTTACAGTGTTTAGGCTATAGATTTGAAGTAGACTCTGTGCCATTGTGCCACTTGGTTTCCTTTTGCCACGAGCCTAACTTGTCTTGACATCGAACTCAGTTGTCTTCTGTCACTCATGGCCTATTCTGGCCAGATGATAGGCGTAGGTTACGTGTTTGGGTCATGAATGTAGTCATAGGAATCTTGAGACTGTCTGAACCTGTATTTGCTGCTGCTTTTTGTGCATGTACATAAACACCAGAAGAGTCATTCCAGTGAAACTCTGTGGAGAAGTAAATATTTTCTGTCTTTAGGATACTTACTGTGGTTTATAGCAAAGCTTTCTGTAAGGTGTGTAATCTCTTTTTAAAAAACAAGAACAGAACTCCATCTTACTAGGAGAGATTGAGTTCTAAATTATGCACACTGTTTTCCCTATCTTTGAATGAATAACTGTACTTTTGACCTACATACACAACACTTCACTTATATATAACTTTTCTTTTTTTTTTCTTCCAGACTATGAGAAGACACAGAAACGAAGTTACAATTGAATTGCGGAAGGTGAGTGCTTCTGTTTATCAGTGTTGATTTTCTTATAATGCTTTGGTATCTCTGCTGAATATTTTCCCATAAACTTTGTTGTTTGAGCTCATACTTGTATAGAGAAGTTGTGTATTTGTAGGCTATGAACTGTGGATTCTAATGTTGGTTTTACTCTGCCAGCCCATAGGCATTATAGGGCAGAACTGAGTACTGATTTACTCAGATTTATGTCTTGGAAGTGAATGCTTCAGTTTCTGTACCAGTTCTCATATTATTGCGAAGCTGACAGCTGTTTGAATGTTTGAAGTCTCTGAATGGGAAAAAAAGAGTTTTAGCACTTAGAAGATATGAAAGTTAATGTATTAAGTTTGTGTGGCAAGATTTTGGTAACCAGGGCTGCAGGGCTGGCTTCTGTGAGCAGCACCCAGCAGCTGCCCTGTGTCAGATCACAGGCAGCTCCAGCTGCTCCAACAGAGACCTGCTGCTGGCTGGAGCTGAGCTGTGAGTGACATTGGTTGTGCTCTGGGAGAGCAGACTTAGGAAAAGGAAAAACCTCTGTGCAACAGCAGCTGAAAGGGGAGAGAGAAATGTGAGAGAAACAGCTCTGCAGCCCCCAACATCAATGCAGAAGGAGGGCAGGAGGTTCCCCTGCAGCCCATAGAGAGGCCCATGGAGGGAGTAGGCTGTTCCCCTTTAGCCTTTGGAGTACTGTGTGGAGCAGCTATCCTTGTGCATCCTATGGAGGAGCCCATGGTGCAGCAGGGGCAGAGAGTGACCATAAAGGAGCAGCAGAGACAAAGTGTTGTGGACTGATCACAGCCTGTTCCCCTGTGCTGCTCAGAGTAGGAGGAAGAAGGTGTTCTTAGTTTGCTTTTAATTTCTCACTGCTCCAGTCTGTTAGCAGGAAGCACTAAATTACATTGATCTCCCTATGGTGAGTTTGTTTTCTCTGTGAGTGATCTCCCTGTCCTTATCTCAACCTTTGAGCCCCTTTTCATTTTATTTTCTCCCTCGCTTTGAGGAGGAAGAGTAAAAGCAGTGTGGTGGAGTTGAGCTGCCCAGCAGTGGTGTGAAACGACCATAGTTAGCATGTTTTATTTTCTGCACTGTAGAGGAAGTTGATTTTTAGGGTCAGATTTTGGTTATATAGGTTAAATGCCAGTGTAGCTGGGAAGATAATAACCATGAGTAGTGAATCTGGTTCAGTTCTCTGCCTAAATACAGGACTTGTTGCACCTTTATCATTTATAAAATATTTCTGGCAGCCTTTCTAGGCATCTCAGAGGCTTGCTGCTGGAGGACATGTCCACAGGCTGAACTACATCTGGGCCATATATGTAAAGAGAAGGGTACCTTTGGGTACCTTCAGTGTACTTGAAGATAGATCTTGTCTCTTTTAGGCTTACCTTGTTGAGGCAAATGCAGTTCTTCCCTCTTTATGTGCAAATACCTAAATTTAACTCATTGCTACTCATCAGTTTCAGATTGCCAGCATTTTCCTGGAAATGTAGAGCCTCAGCTGAGGTTTAAATCGTACTGAGGACAGTGAAGGGCAATTCTTTACACAGTGTTCCTATTTATATTGAGTATGTCGTTGAGTAAAACTCAGCCTGTGACCCATAATATCCTTTGGACACTGCCTGTAGTACCACAAAACAAAGGTAGTTGTCGGTGCTCTACTTGCATAGTTCAGTAGATGCAGTTTTAGACATGATGACTTCTTTTGAATTCCATGTGCTTTTTCCAGACTTCCTTGACTTGAATTTCCATTCTGATTTCCAGTATTCTCCTCAGCTTGGTATTCCCTTAGTGACTTGATGGAGGTGCATGCTTTGAATATTCCAGATTTGGGCCAAGTTCCTTAGGGTTCCCTTTGATGCATTTCTCCATTCTGCCATTTGATTCACTTGATCATGTGCACAGGGTGTTCTTGAAAGTGCATCCTCCCCCCACGTGCATGTAAACTTGTTTTTTGCATTGTTTGCACACCGAGAGAAGTCAAAAGCCTTGTTAACATCAAGGTGAGATGGAAGCTGTATTGACTTTTTTTGATAAATCTTTTACTTGATTTTTGTAGGATATACCAAGAATCTTATGCTAATATTTTTTGGGATCCTTCTGTTCTATAAAAACTCAAAAAAGATTTTTTTTTTTTAAAGAATTACTCCTGTCTTTTGTTATGATATAAAAAAAAATGCCTGTGGGATTTATCCTTAGAATAAAAGGGATCATTACAGAAATCTAATTGGACCCAGATGACTGGAAAAAAAGAATCTTAACTACTTACATGAGTGTGATGCATCATCTAAAAGTTGTTTAATGCTTTCATATTTTCTTAATCAAAGAAACTAGCTGAACATGTCTGAAAGTTTTGTGCAGCTTAACTTGACTGTGGCCTCATCAATCCTGCCAGAGAAACTGAGGTGTGGAGAAACCTGTCTCTGTATGTAGCTCGGCTAGCAAGTGGAAAATTAAATAAGCAAGCTTTTACTAAAATGAGATTCAGGTAATTAATATGATATTTGAATTATCATCATAAAATTCAGCTGCTATTTTGGCAGAGGCCCTCTGTTTTTCAGAGCCAGCATGTTGACTCAGTGTAAAACTTGCTGTGTAACTGAGCTGTGCCGTGGAGAGCCATTCATAGCACTTGGGCAGGCCTGTGCCCGTTAGCAAAGCAGTGCTGTAAAAGATGGCTTATCTAATGCAGCATATCCTCATACAGCTGCTTCAGTTGTGAGACTGCTTACAAGTATTCCATCACATGAACAGGTCAGTTACACACTTGAAGACATGTAAGCACTGGATGTAGGTCGTGCTGTAAATCATGAGTGAACAGCAGCTGCAGAACACTTGAACACAGGAAGTTGTGTTCTTTTGGAGTGTTTGCTGAGTGCCTTCCACTGCAGACACCCAAAGTCATCTGCGTTAAAAGAGATTCAACGTGCATCCAAGTTGTTGGTTTGCAGCAACTGAACTACTGCTGCTGGTGGCCACCTGGTTTTCTGCAAGAACTCTCTGGCAGATGTGAGGCCACTGCTTCTGGTGTAGACTTGGGACTGAAATGTAAAGGGGTAAATGATTTTACTAAGTTCCAGCAGTAGAGTGGATCAAATACAATGTTGTTGCTTCAGTTTTCAGCTTTACAGCTAACACTGCTACTCTAGCACGAGCGTGTCAAATTCAGGAAATGCCTGTGTTGGCATGACTTCAGTGGTCCATCTGTGTCCCTTCATGGATATCTTTTCTCAATCCCAACCTTCCAGATGCTAAGTGTGCACCTGGCTTTTGAAGAAAACAAGCAAACTGGACATATTCTTGATTCCTACAATTGAAGGACTGGATAGATACAGATCTGTCTTCTGAATCAACTTGTGTGTAACTATTAAATCAATGGATCTGGTGAAGTTGCTTATATGTCTCTTTTGTAAGATGTGATTTATTTATTCCAGCTTTGAACAGTAATAAACAATTTGTGTGCATTAACGTGAGGTGCTTATTTTCTTGAAGTTCCAGACATCAAGTTGCAACACATAGTGTTTCAAAAATATATTAACCTTATTTGCTGTCTCCATAACATGCTGCAGCTCTTATTCAGAAGGCAACTTCAGCTTTTTTTACATTTTTTTTTTTCCCAACCACTTATTTGTGTATCAGCTGAGCAAGTGAAGTTGTTTCCGACATAGCAGTTATCCAGCAAAATGCTGGCCCAGTCCTGAGTTGGCACTGTCAGATGACAGTCAGATGACACTCCTACTAGTCAGGTGTCCTTCTCTGATTCCATATTGGCCTTGCTAAACACTTTAATTTAGTGTTTAAAACTTTGAGAGTGGACTTGCCATGCTTCTTTGATTCACAGAATCATGGAATTGTAGGGGTTGGAAGGGACCTGTAGAGAGCATCGAATCCAACCCCCCTGCAAAGCAGGCTCCCTACAGCAGGCTGCACAGGAAGGCATCCAGCTGGGTCTTGAATATATCCAGAGAAGAGCACTCCACAGCCTCCTTGGGCAGCCTGTACAGTGTGAAAAGAGCGTCTTGGTTTCTGGCTATACTATGAGTGCAACAGTGGTCCTAAGAGGTTAAAAAGTAGCCACCTCTCTTTCCAGACAAATAAAATAATGGTGCCAGTTTTCAACTTCTCAATATGTAGTGGTGGAGGAGGGTTAGGATTCAGTTTAAGGTTCTGTACTTGAATGAAACCTGTAACTATATTGCTTTTAGGGATCCTTTGGTTCTAGGCAATTTTTGTAATTTTTTTTTTTTTTAAGGGAGGATAAAACTCCCAACTTGGACCATTTATTTGCTCTAAGATGGTAGTTAGCCAGATTAGTGCTAATACAGTCACTAGGTCACATGCTACCCTTCATTTGAAGTGTTATACTCCTAACTTCAGCAGAAACAGAGGATGCTGTCCTCCTTTATCATGTGCTAACTAGGGCCCTAAAAGTTTCCAGGTCCCTCACAAGGTGTTTATTTTTGACTTTGGCAAACTCAGCTGTCTGAGAGCTCACAGACATGAGCTCATAAAAGCTCTAATTGACAATTAACTTTGATGCAATACAAAGCAGTTATTTTCTAACCAGTGTGTGGATTAAGGAGCCATGGGCATACATCCATTTACCTGCTTCTCTGGCATACAGTACTTATCTCTACTCTGATCCTTCTTAAATAAGATTTCTTATGTGTGCAGTACCTCCCAGCTACAGTCATGAGCCTTGAAGAGAAAGATCTTGCCGGGAGAGATATGGTGGGGAAGATGAGAGTGCAAAAGAAAGAACAAATCTTCCTAGAATCACCAAGGTTGGAAAGGACTCCGAGATCATCCAGTCCAACTGTCCACCTGCCATCAGTATTTCCCCACTAAACCATGTTGTTTAGTATAACATCTAAGCATTTCTTGAACATCTCCGAAGATGTGTTCAGGTTAGACAGCAAAACCTCCTTTGTTTATGTGTTTTTTCACAGAATGGCTGAGGTTGCAGGGCCTAGCCGAGGTGCCCAGGGTCACATCCAGGC